ACTGTGACTGGGGACAGTCGTCCATCCGCTGGGGTCACTGTGACTGGGGACAGTCGTCCATCCGCTAAAGTCACTGTGACTGGGGACAGTCGTCCCTCCACTGGGGTCACTGTGACTGGGGACAGTCGTCCATCACATGAGGCCACTGTGAGTCAGAACTGCAGTAGGGGAGTTCTGTGTTTAACTCCCTGGAGACCCGCCAGGCTCTCTGGCAGTGGCCGTCTCCTCTCACAGCCCCCTCGGCACGTCCCCCACGTCCCCATCTATGCTCGCAGGCAGCACTTGGTGGCTGTGTGTCCTTGCTGCCAGGTGCAGGCCCAGTGAGGCCCCCTCGGTGCCCTCCCAGCCCCCAGGTCAAGGAAGGGAAGAGTGTCAACTGCCCAGAGCCGCCGTGACAACGTATCCTCATCTGGATGCCTTTCTGTGATCTCCTGCCTTGTTCCTCCAGCCACTGGTGGCCCTAGACACACCTTGGCCATGAGGCCATTGTTCCTCTGTCTCTGCTCCATTTCTCCTCACCTTTGATAAGGACCCAGCCTCCTCCAGTACAATCTCATATGGATTTAAATGATCACACCCTCAGAGCCTGCTTCCACACAAGGTCACGTTCACAGGTACAGGAGCCAGGACGCCAGCCTGTCCTTTTGCTTTTTTGTTAGTTTCTCTTTTTAAATTTCTTTTTCTTGACCTGCCTTTTAGGGGAACACAATTCAGTCCATAACCAAAGCACACTGTTGAGGTCCAAGAGGAAAACAACAATCTGACACAGTACGGATCAGGAGTCAGTCAACAATTCCAACCTGGCCGCCCTGCACTTGTGCTTATAAAGTTTTATTGACACACAACTTTGTCTATTTGTTTACATGTCATCTCTGGATGCTTTTCCTACGATGGCAGAGTGAAGTTGTCTTGACAGAGCTTGTGTGGCCCCCAAAGCTGGTAGTGGGAGTGTCTAGAGGACCCCCATCCAGGAGGGTGCTGCTGAATAACAGCTGTACCCCAGCGCGGATGCCAAGTTAGGCAGAGACACTTGCCAGCCAACAGCTCTGCCAGGGGCTGGGATGGCCGGTTTCTGTGGAGCTGACTCCACGTGTATCAGGTTAGAACCGGTGGGCCATTGGGTTTTCATTGGCTGATTGTTGGGAAGGAGATCACCAGGCCTTTCTTCCTAGGTGCCTCTTGGTGAACTTGAACCTCTGACCTCTTGATTAGCAACTGAGAACCTTAACAAAACTAGTGTTCCCTGCCCTGGGGGAATCATCTCTCATTTTTGAAATTTTTTATTTTTGTTTTATTTTTTATGTTATTAATTTTTTCATTTTATTTCATTTCATTATTTTTTGTGTGTACTGTCAAATCAGATCTGACTGGTACAGGAGGAGATTGTTTCTCCTTTTCCAGCATATGTTATTCATTTTAATGAACATTTACAGAAATTTTGGATTTCCATTCATTCATTGTTGCATTTTTCTCCCTGCCCACCCCTCCCCCCAATTTGTACCTCTCTCTGAAAAGTAAAAGAAAAATTCCTTCATTGGTGATTTTTTTATTTGATCTTATTCATTTTGTGTGTATACCGTCAAATTGGGTCTGACTGGTACAGGAGGAGATTGTCCCTCCTTCTCCAGCAAAGCATATGATGGATTTGAACTGCGCACCTCTGGGATTGCAGTGCAGCTTCATGTCACAAGGCCCCCAGAGCTCCCTGAATTTTTTTTATTTCTTTTTTTAAAATTTTTCTTATTTTTTTCTGGATCTGACTGGTACAGGAGGAGTTTGCCCCTCTTTCTCCAGCAGAGCATCTGGTGGATTCTAACCGTGAAATTTTTTTATTTTTATAAAAAAAATAAATATATACCAAAATGTTTACTCATTCATCTGTCTCTAAATTTACCTGCCACGTGATGTCACTGTTCTTGATCTCTCCCCATCCTGTTTGTCTCTCTGCCTGTTTTAGATGCTCCACCCTCTAAACTTTTCATCTGCACTTTAGAGTTATTCACAAGGTCACAGATAATTCTTTAATAAAAGAACTGAATGCTTGTGGCCCATATTGACCAGTTTAAATCAACAGTTTAAAGGTGATTTTACAGACTAGTTCTGTTCATAGTTTGAAGATTTTCTCAGAGTGATAGATCTTCAGTAGATCCACTAAGTCTATATTCTATAAGAATTTGAAATTCTGTTGCACAGTACCCCCCGTTTTGATCTAGACCCAACTATTGTTGAGTCTTTGATGAAAAGATTGAAAATGGTAGTGGGACACCATCTAGTTCTTCTGGTCTCATGGATATGAAGTCAGTACAAGACACTGAGCCTCCAGAATTCTATGCTTTGCTTGGGTATGAACTCAAAGGAGGTGGCACCACTCTCCCAGGGGAGCCGACATCCCACAGGTGTGCCTCGGTGTGAACTGTAGCTGACATCCTTCTGTTCTTCCAGGTACGAAGAGGAACGGATTAAGGCCAGGAGGGAAAGGTAGGCTGAGCTGTCTCTGTTGGGGCTGAGGTGGTAGAGATCAGGGCTGATGGCTGAGCTGTGTCCTCCCCTGGTGGCTTGCCTGGTGCCCCCAGGATGCCTGGTAGGAGCGTGTGACAGTGAGCATACAATCTGTGCACACGGGCAGCTCTGAGCATGACTGGGGAGCAGGGGGTACTCAGGAGAAACCAAGGCTCTTTCCTCCACCTCCGCTCATGTCCACCTCCTCACAGCTGCCCACTCCTTCACTGAACCCCCAGTCCTGGGCAGAGGTCAGGCCCCACCTCCACCCTGCTGTGTAAGGATCCTCGGGTGGCTTGGAAAGTGGGGTGGTGGGCCCTGCTCTCACACCATGGCCCTGCATCCCGGCCACCCAGCGCCTTTTCTCCCTGTCTGCAGTGGGCGGCCCCAGCCCGACTTCGTCCTGCCCAGGTCTGAAGAGAAGCCGGAGGTGGAGGAGGCGACAGTGCCAGAGGCAGAAACAGAGAGCAGGTAACCTTGCAGGTGACGCCGGACCCCGGCTCAGGCCACTGAGGTCCTGGGGGGTGGGAGGCAGGAGGCTGGAGGAACACTGGACCCTCCCTAGGAATCGACGAGGGAACTGGGTGGGCCACAACCTAGGAGCAAGGAGGGCCAGCTCCGCGGTTGATGGAAATGTCAGGGACTGATGGAGATTTTTAAGGAGTGCTGGATTCAAAAGGTCAGTGGTTCAAATCCATCCACTGGCTCCGTGGGAATAAGAACTAGAAGTCCAGAGTGACCACCCTGGACACAGATGGCCAGACTTTCTTTCTACAGGGTCATGTGGGTTAGATCCAGCCTGGTGGCCCACAGTCGTCCCCACCTGGCAGGTCTCGAATGAACAAGAGGTTCACTGGAGCAGATGAGTGATTCACAGACCGGGCAGCGTCCACCCCAGGGAGAACCCCAGGGTTTCTACAATGACCACACAGACCTTAAAGATTCCATTAAGGCCATGTTTGCTGGGACCATAGAGGTGATCCTCAACTCCTACCTGCCCCACAAGCTGGAAGCACACTTCACCACATGCTGCGCTGCTAACCAAAAGGTTGCCTGTTCAAATCCACCAGCAGCAACTCCGTGGGAGGAATGAGGCCGTCTCCTCCTGCTAAGATTTACGCCTCAGAGATGCAGAGGGTCACTCCAAGTCACACCCAGTCCTGTGTTAAGCTTTGTTCTCCGTGTGCCTGGGTAGGGCTGGCCTGGAGGATTTCCTGGGCCCAGCCTTGCAGCGTGGACAGCCAGGGTTGCTTCTGACAGAGCCCTGGGTGGGTTAGAACCATAAGCCTCTGGCTCACAGCTGAGCACTTAAGAATTGAGTCGTGCACTAAACATACTGCCCACAGCGGTCAAGGTGGTTCTGACCCCAGGACCCAAGGCTGTACTCTCGGCAGAACATGGTCTCATATTTCTCCTGTGAAGCCCCAGTGGATTTGAACCTGCAGCCTTCTGGTCATCTGTGCCTCCACAGGGCCACTGGGATTCGAGAACCAACTCGATGGTCTCTGGCAACAACCACTGTAATTAAATCTTCAGTAAGCGACTGACCTTTCCGTTCACGACCCAACATGTCACCCGCTGTGCCACCAGCTCCTTGAGTCTGGTTTCGTTTGCCACCTGTGAGGACAGGAAGGGGATGTCTAGAGGGTATGCAAGTGGGAAGGTGGCGGCCAGTGTGGCCGTAGGCCCGCGGTGATGGTCATAGCAGCCGGGACTTTCGGTCAAAGTCCTCACTGCTATTGTCCGGTGCCATCAGGTCAAATGCCACCCATCGTGACCCCAGGGGACAGTGTAGCACCTCCCTCGGATGTCCTCAGCCGAAATTCCCACGGGAGGCTGGTGCGTGGGAAGCAGGGCCCCTCGTTACAGCTGGAGGTTACTTCCCTGGAGTTGGGGCGGCTGCGATCTATGTTGTGGGAGTCCAGCAGTCACACAGGGGTCCGGGAGGGTAATTTTCACACCATGCCAATGAGTGAGCCCTGGGGAGTGGGGTGTCTCCAGGGGGAATTGAACATGGGCCTTTGCCAGGAAATATATCCCTGAATTATTCCCCAAGCTTTCCCAGGATTGCCGAGACATAGGGGCCAAATCCCAGGTATTGGAGTGGGAAGGCAGCCAAGCTGGTCCCCAAAGTGTGTGCTTACCAGTCTCCCAGGCATCTGTCTTCACCAGAACATCTACATCCTCACCCCCATCTTTTGTACAAAAATATAGGCTTTAGGGGAGCTCTGGTTGCCTAGAGGCAAGAAGCTGCACTGCAATCCCAGAGGTGTGCAGTTCAAATCCACCAGATGCTCTGCTGGAGGAGGGACAATCTCCTCCTGTACCAGTCAGATCCGATTTGATGGTACTCACATAATAATAATAATAATAATAATAATAATAATAATAATAATAATAATAATTATTTAAACCCAAACAAAACACACACACACACTAAAATAAAAAATACAGGATTTAAATAGGTCTGTGTGGGGTAAGGAAGACCCCCCTGGAGAAATACACTCCCTTAGAATAGTCAACATGAGATCAAAAGGGCAGCATTTACCCAGAGATGAAGCTCAGAAGGCAGGAAGGGATAGAACAGAGGGACAAGTGGAAACAGGAAACCCAGGGAGGAAGCGGGTAGAGCGCTGCTACACCATGCACAGGGACTTCAAGGTCCTGTCACAGATTGTGTACCCATGGTTGAAGACAAAACCAATTTTCTCTGTTAGGCATTACCAAAAAAAGCTTCTGTAGATCTTTTTATGCTAGACTGTTTATTTTTAAGAACAGTATTGGTTTTATTTGTTCCCATTCCAAAGAAAGGTGACCCAACTGAGTGTGGAAACTACAGAACAGTGTCATTGATTTCACATGCAAGCAAGATTCTACTGAAGATTATCCAAAAACTATTAGAACAGCACATCAGCAGAGAACTGCCGGAAGTCCAGGCTGGGTTTAGAAGGGGTCGTGGTACTAGGGATATTGTTGCTGATGTTAGATGGATCTTGGCTGAAAGCAGAGAATACCAGAAGAATGTCTGTCTGTGTTTCATTGATTATGCAAAGGCATTTGACTGTGTGGATCATAACAAACTGTGGCTGACTCTGAGAAGAATGGGAATCCCAGAACATTTAATTGTGCTAATGCAAAACCTATACTTGGACCAAGAGGCAGTAGTCAGAACAGAGCAGGGTAACACTGCATGGTTCAAAATTGGGAAGGGTGTACGCCAGGGATGCATCCTGTCTCCATACCTTTTCAACATGTATGCAGAGCAAATTATCCGAGAGGCTGGGCTCTATGAGGAGAATTGTGGCATCAGGATTGGTGGAAGATCTATTAACAATCTCCGTTATGCAGATGACACAACCCTGCTTGCTGAAACTGAGGAGGACCTCATGCACTTGCTGCAAAGGGTCAAGGACTGCAGCCTTCTGTATGGACTGAGGCTCAATGTCAAGAAGACAAAGATTCTCACCACTGGACCAATTGGCAGCGTCAGGATGGATGACAAAGAGATTGAGAGTGTTCACAGCTTCAGTTTGCTCGGCTCCACAGTCAACACTCTTGGCACCAGCACTCAGGAAATCAAAAAGCGTATTGCGATAGGAAAGTCTGCTGTTAGGGACCTCTCTAAAGTACTCAGGAGCAACAGTGTCTCTCTGGAGACTAAGGTGCGCCTGATACAGGCCATGGTATTTGCAATCGCTTGTTATGCATCAGAGAGTTGGACAATGACTAGGGAGGACAGAAGGAGAGTGGATGCTTTTGAGCTGTGATGCTGGAGAAGGGTACTGAATGTACCATGGACTGCCAGGAAAACAAACAGATTCACCTTGGAGAGGATTAAACCAAGCTACTCCTTGGAGGCAAGGATTCTGGGGCTCCGTCTGACATACTTTGGACATGTTGCCAGGAGGGACGGGTCCTTGGAGAGGGACATCATGCTTGGGAGGGTGGAGGGACAGCGCAGGAGGAGAAGACCCTCTATGAGATGGATTGATTCGGTGACTGGGGTAATCGGGATGGGTGTGTCAGAGGAGGTGCAGTTGGTGCAGGATAGAGCAGGGTTTAGGGCTGTTGTGCATAGGGTCGCTGTGAGTCGCAAATGACTCGACGGCACATAACAACAACAACAATTGGTTTTATGCACACACACACCCCCTCAAAGTTCAGACAATACTAGGAGTTCCAGAGGCTCTCTTCCCACCGTACACACACAACTTTTGCAGTGTTAACTTCTTGATACATGTGTTACAGCCAGCCAGCTGATGTTGATACATTGTGGCTACCTGGAGCCCTTGGTTCAAGTGGAGGCTGTCTGTGGGTTCTGACAAAAGCATAATGCCCCATGTCACTAAGACAGGATGGAGAATGGTGTCATTGCCCTAAAGTACCCCAGGAGACCCCTGCCGTCCCTCCACCCTTTCATTGGGTCTATTTTAAAATGAATCCTTACCACTGAGTCCCCACAAATCTCCAGAACTGCCTCATGGGGCTTTCACTGGCTGAGTTTTCAGAAGTGCGTTGCCAGGCCTTTCTTCCTAGGCACCTCTGAATGAACTCAGAGCATCAGCATTCTCTGTGTGTGTTTCACCTGGGATCCACCAGAGCAGCATCGGTGGGCTCATTCTGGCCCCTTTGTCAAGCAGCCCATGGCCTCTGACACGTGCTTCATGCCAAGCGCCCTCCCCACCACCTCCTAAGTTCACAGTCTCCATCTGCTGTCAAAATCCTGTGGCTGATCACTTGGCAAGTGATTCACACTCCTTCCCTCCCACAGGTCAGCTCCGACCACAGAAGAGCAGGAAACAAGGTGAGTGTGAGTCGGGCAGAGAGTGTGTGTAGTGTCTTTCTGGAAAGATTTGAAGGGGAGCCCACACCAGGGCACGTGCCACATGATTTAGGGGCTCAGCTGCACCTGGAAATCAAGGGACACAGTTACAAGAGCAGCAGCACGTCCCTGCCCAGCTCAGGGAGCAGAGTGTGGATGGGGGCCCGGAGCTGGGGTGTGGAGGCTCTGATGCCAGAAAGGCCTCGCCAAGACCACCTCAGGGTCCCTGATTTGCTGGAAAGACTCACAGAACCAGAAGCCATTGCATGCACTGTTGCAGGTCATTGCAACTGAAGAACACACATCAACATCTGCACAACAGAAGGTACACAGGGTGCAGGGAGACCACCGGCGAGCTTCTGGGGGGCACAGCTGACTTACAGCAAAGACAGGGGACAACAGCCTGGGTATGGTCAGCACAGAAGTGTCCTTGACCTCAAATGTCGTGACCTTTAGTGCTGCTATAACAGATATACCATAAGGGGGTGGCTTTAACAAACAGATGTGTGTTTTCTTGTGGCTGAGAAGACTGGAATGTGGATGCAGGGCACAGATCCAGGAAGGCTTTCTGTCTCTTGCTCTCAAGGAAGGTCCTTGTCTCCTCTCACTGTCTGTGGTTGCCAAGGTCCTTGAAGATCTCCATGTCTTA